AGGCAACTTTGTAAGACCACAACCAGATAAATCCAACTTTTTCAACACATCTCCACACATACGTATCAAAGTAGATATATCTGAATGGCTCAGACGGTTGTTAGACAGATTAAGTTCTTCCAGTTCGTGGCAATCTCGAAGATCTTTAGGCAACTTTGTAAGACCACAACCAGATAAATCCAACTTTTTCAACACATCTCCACACATACGTATCAAAGTAGATATATCTGAATGGCTCAGACGGTTGTTAGACAGATTAAGTTCTTCCAGTTCGTGGCAATCTCGAAGATCTTTAGGCAACTTTGTAAGACCACAACCAGATAAATCCAACTTTTTCAACACATCTCCACACATACGTATCAAAGTAGATATATCTGAATGGCTCAGACGGTTGTTAGACAGATTAAGTTCTTCCAGTTCGTGGCAATCTCGAAGATCTTTAGGCAACTTTGTAAGACCACAACCAGATAAATCCAACTTTTTCAACACATCTCCACACATACGTATCAAAGTAGATATATCTGAATGGCTCAGACGGTTGTTAGACAGATTAAGTTCTTCCAGTTCGTGGCAATCTCGAAGATCTTTAGGCAACTTTGTAAGACCACAACCAGATAAATCCAACTTTTTCAACACATCTCCACACATACGTATCAAAGTAGATATATCTGAATGGCTCAGACGGTTGTTAGACAGATTAAGTTCTTCCAGTTCGTGGCAATCCCCAAGATCTTCAGGCAACCCAGTAAGACCACAACAAGATAAATTCAACTTTTTCAAGCTGTGCCAAGGTAAATATTTCAAGGAAAATGTATCTGAATGGCCTAGACGGTTGTTAGATAGATTCAGTTCTTCCAGTTTGTCGCAATCTTCAAGATAACCAGGCAACACTGTAAGGCCACAACCAGATAAATTCAATTTTTTCAAATCATTTCGAGAATTACGTACCAAAGTAGAAAAATCTGAATGGCTTAGACGGTTATTAGATAGATCGAGCTCTTCCAGTTCGTAGCAATCTTTAAGACCTTCAGTCAACCCAGTAAGACCACAACAAGATAAATATTCCTTGTTCAAACTACGCCAATACATTGATTTCAAGGAAGAAGATATATACGAATGGCTTAAACAGTTATTAGATAGATTCAGCTCTTTCAGTTTACGACAATTTTTAAGATATTCAGGCAACTCAGTAACACCACGACCAGATAAATCCAACCATTTCTGATCAGGTTGGATAGATCTTATCGACATGGATGAACGTTCAAGAGACATAACATTAGCAAACCGGGGTGCTTTGCCAGAGAGATACCATCCCTGTTTTTTTGTTCCTTTGGAGTTTTTTATTGGATTGATGCTCTTTTTCTGACTTGGATCAATGTGTTGAGGTGATGAGCTAATGGAATCCTCAATATTTTTCGCTTTATCAAGTTTAGTTGAAGCGTCTAATTTTCCTGAATCCAAATGGCAAAATTGTTTGGCCATAACAGCAGGTAGTCATATACCTCTACACACAAACAAATTAATTTATGTTAGAAGATGTTAACTTATTTTACAAAGAAAACAGACCTAAAAAATAGTTTCTTTCTGGAGGCAGCAAAATCCACCGTATTTTCTTGAACATGGTCAAATTATTGTCATATCCTCATAATTCAGTGTTTTTTCGACAAATATATCAAACCATTTTCAATAAATACAGTAAACAGCGGCTGATAAGTTTTGAGGAATTCAATGAATATCACAAAGCTTGCGAGTTGCTGTGTAATTGTTGCGAGTTGCTTAATTTTAAGACAGTTTAGACTACACAACGTTTGCCTGAAACTGGCATGCAACCTGCTTGCTTACAAGGCAGGAGTGGATCCAGCAAGGTTTTTCTAGGGGGTGCTGGGTGAGCAGCCGAGTGTTTCTTTATAATTCTTTAGGGGGTGGTGGGAGAGCATTCAATTGAATTGGCTTCCTAACGACTCGAGCACCGAAAGCGCGAGCTCCCTAGGGTGTTCCGGGCTATGCTCTCCGAAAATTTTGAAAATTAGAACCCTAGAAATGCCATTTCTTGCGATATGGGCATTGAATTATAAGCTTCAGTTTGACTTCAAAAAAGGAAAAACCTTGGAAATCATGCCATATTTCTGAATTTGATCAGTTTTATTGCACCCCTGTT